CACACACACACACACACACACACACACACACACACACACACACACACACACACACACACACACACATACACGCGCACGCATGTAGTAGTGTAGATTTCGATGTTCTAGCGGACGGTTCATTCGACTTTGCTCATCCTATCGATGGAAGTAGCTTGTGGCCAGCCGCGGGGTTGGAGACTTACTTTTTGGCTGGTGCTTTGCTCATCCTATCGATGGAAAACTCTCTTTCTCTCTCTCTCGCTCTCCCTGTCGATGGAGAACTCTCTCTCTCTCTCTCTCTCACACACACATACACACAACATGTTATTCGTTAAAATATGACATTATACTGTGTCCTCTTTCTAACGAATTACTTTTTGGCTACAGCCTAAGAAACGTAGGCATGCCCATCCAGGGTTAACCACATGCAGTAGCGTGCTGAGATCCATACTTGTGAAACTTTATAAATGAAATCCCAAATGTGGAAGTGTGTTGGGTTCCTTACTTGTTGAACATTAAAAACATGTTGGTGATCCCGTGGGGAAGTGTGTTGGGATCCATACTAGTCAAACTTCATAAACGAACAACGATTGACACGCCAAAGGGAACCCTGTGCGAAACTGTGCCATGATCCTAACTTGTTTAACTTCAATTTCATAAATGTGATGAAAGATACAGTAACTATATTGTGACACTGTCCTCTTTCTTACGAATTCATTTTCGACTGCAGTGTTTGTACATGGGCATGCCCGCCCAGTCGCCCCAAATGTGAAAGTTTGCTGACATCCATAGTTGTTGAACTTTTGTAAACAAAATTAGCAATATAATTAGATTGAATTAGATTAAATTGTGCTCCATCACGATGAATATCCGCATTTCAAATGGTCATGCAAAGAAGGTTTGGGCATCCACTGACCAATTTCACATAAGAAGAGATTTCTCATTCATCCACCAACCAGTTTCACAATCATGTTTACACTTCCAGTTGAACAGAATTCGAAACATGGAAACACAATACTTCAACTTGAACGGAATTCAGAACATGGAACATTACGTGACATAGATTACAAAGCCCATACATGACGCAAGACATGCATTGAGCTTGCCGTAGATAATGCGAACTCGGAACGATAAAAGAAAGCAATGCCTCTGGCAGAAGGACAGTTGAATAATGTCTCGATTTACGAAATTTAACGATCAACGAATGGAACACCTTAAAAAAAAGTTTCGAAGTCAATCAAATCCATCAAAGACAACGATGTTCTAAGACACATGATGCTAATTGTCGTCTAAGAAGCGGAATATCTTTACAAAAGAACCGGAAAGGCGGTCGATCTCCATGTTGCAACAACGTCGCATACATCAACATGAACACACCACAACTTGCTCCATCCACTTGTCTCGGAACTTCATCCACCACAACATTTCCCACCACGGACTTCCAATTCCTACCTGACCGCCTATGTGATGTTTGACGTTCCAAATACTGCACAATCAACCCGAAAACACTAAGGTAAAAACCAGAATGAGCTATAATGCGAGGAAAAGAATAAAAAATTTCGAGAACATCATCTCTCATGTTGACGGAAACGAGGATCCAGTGATCATCATCTTTGTGGACAGGAACGAAGATAATATCGTAACGAAGCAAATCTACGTTTTTAGCCCACCTCTGCACCCCACCGTGTCCTTGAAGTCGCAGTTTACTGAAGAAGAACGAATTAAAGCTGAAGACTTGAAGGCCTGAAGAGATGTCACGTGACCCACATGCGGTCCACCCCAACAACGCCATATAGGAATTGACCACCTCATCATTCACCCTGCCGTTGACATGCAAGAGGGTGAGGAGACCTTTTGCTGCAATCCGAAATTGACCATCGCCCAGTATAGAGAGAATAGTGTTAGACGGCACCGAGCCTCGTACAATGTCATCCAAAACCCGCAAGCTCAGAGGCGCAATCGTCGCAGCGAAACTTTTCCCACGTGCTGCACTCGTTGCCCGCACTGCACAACATCGAGCAAAGGACACGTGGGGTAGTGAGAAACGGAGTTCTAGACATTGTTCCCCGGTGCATGACGCGTTGCTAAGTACTTCTCATACATGGCCTGACCCCTACTCACAGATCGTGGATATGTCCCTTTTTCTGGGGCAAGAAGGGAAAGACATTCCTCGATGGCAACGGTGTACTCCTTCTTCCCGATCTCGACATCAACCCCTGATGCCTTTAACATATCCTTGTGTTTTTTACTCAACCCAGGGACTTTCTGCAATATGTGCTCTGGATATTTGGAGGACCTCCGTGTTGGAGACGACACCACCCCTGTACAACAGAAGAAAGACAAAACGAAAAATGAGAACCATACATTCGTACAGACGCAACAGTCAAGCAGGACCTCTCCGACCACAGGACCCTGATCTCGCGTGGTCATGTGCACCCAGGTGCGGTTGTGCGACTGGAAAACAAAATGACTGCAACATCCGAGCTTATCACCCCCGCACTTCGCAAAGGAAAACCTCCACAACTCACAGAAGCCGGAGGCCAGCAATCCGCGAAGTTCGGACTGCAGTGGACTTTTGAACACACCAGCCCCAATGAGACTGACCACATCACGCATCGACAAAGGAAGTTCGGATCCCGACGGACTAAAACCGGCACTATTCCCAAGAAGGGAAAACTGTCAGTTCATGTACTTGGCCACTTTCTTAGCACCTTGGCCCACAGTCAAGAAGGACTTCTCCGACCACAGGACCCTGATCTCGCATGGTCATGTGCACCCAGGTACGGTTGTGCGACTGAAAAACAAAACGACTGCAACATTCGAGCTTATCACCCCCCGCACTTTGCAAAGGAAAACCACCACAACTCACAAAAGCCGGAGGCCAGCAATCCCCGAAGTTCGGACTGCGGCGGACTTTTCAACACAGCAGCCTAACTAAGACTGACCACATCACGCATCGACAAAGGAAGTTTGGATCCCGACGGACTAAAACCGGCACTATTCCCGAGAACGGAAAACTGTCAGTCCATGTACTTGGCCACTTTCTTAGCACCTTGGCCACTTCCTCAGCCGGGGCAGATCCTTCCTTGGATGGAGTGTAAGGTTTTGGACGAAGTTTTCGCCGCCCTCGACTAGCAACCCGACCGAGTCACAGATAGGCCGATGAGCTGGAGTAGGAAGGGCTGCTAACTGTAGCATGCGGGCATCCAGAACTTCCCGTATGCACAAACAGTGTGGACAGTCGTCGTGTGTATAGCACGGACTGTAATCCGGCGACATCCGGATGCGCAGACGTTCTTCACGGCTTACCAGTCTGTTTCTCTCTCCGCTCCTTCGATGGTGAATTTGGCGCAGGCAAAGCGAGCACGTCGAGAGCCTGACCGCCAAACCTCGATTTTTTCGGGGACGTCAAATGCTGTCCTCCACCGCACTCGCCTTCCCCTTCGGCGGCAAGGGTGGCCTGCAGCACCAGAGACTTCGGCGGCGACGAAGCGAGGGCAGCTGCCACGGAAGATGCGACGTTGGCAGTTGCGGACGGACGGGCAGATACGTTGTGGTCGCCAAGGATACCGTCGATAACTTCGTCGATGCTTATACGTCGACTTTTTTCAGACGAGCTGATAGCGATGGAAGCCTCGTCGAATCAGTGCTGCAAGTCGATAGCAGACGTCAGTGGCCGGACCGCATAATCTTCAGGCTTTGCGGAAAGGTTGCTGACCACTTGTGTCTCCATCTCTATTGCCGTGGCATCGTCGTCGACATCATCTTCGTGATGCTCTCCGTACAGTTGTCCGAACTCGTCAGACAACTCTCCTGATCCGGCATCGTTCTCACTGTGTTCCACTTCGTCTTCTCCAGACCCGACACCCTCCCTTCCTTCAAACAAATCAATTAACTCCGTTTCTCCCGCTTCCTCCCCTTCCACCTCTTCTTCCTCTTCTTCCTCCCCTTCTTGCGCTCCCTTCTGTTCCTCCGTTTCCTCCCCTACTTCCCTCCTACGAAACTCGTCCCCTTCCGCAGTACCCGTGCCGAATCGCGAGGACCGCCCTTCCGTCCCCGTGCACGCTGCCCCTCTCAACGGCACGACAATCCCTGGCCGACAAACCCCGCCCGAAGAAGTTCGGATCTCGGCGGACTTCGTGGTCTCCGTGTCGCCGGACCCTGCACTTGCAGCCTCCCGCTGCAATCCTTGCGGCCGTCTCTCCTGCTTAGGCGACACTGTTCCGACGTCTCCGTCTCGTGCCGCAATGCTGCGAATTTTTCGATCCGTGGTTTGATCCTTCGACCCCGAGCAGCTTTGCATTCCGGACCGCTCTGGCGGCTCCTCACCCGACGTAGTTCGGATCCCGGCGGACTTCGGCTTTCCGGCCGAGCGAATGCCTAGAGCAACCAAGGCTGCCAGCGTGTCCCTCGCTGAGCCCACGGACGAAGTCTGGGGGTCGGCGGAGTGTGTCGTGTGCTCGGGCCGGGTGCCTGTCGACGGAGTCCGGTCGACGGCGAAACCCGCCACCCCGGCGCTGCCTCTCGGTGTCGTGTTGCGGCAGTGAGACCCTCTCTCCCCCATAGGCGGGATTCCTTTGCCACCCCCTGCGTCGCCACCCCCATCCCCTCCGCTTCCAGGTGTCACCCCCCCGGAACCACCGTCCGGCCCATTGGGAGGGGGCACTTTCCAGTCCACCACGCCCTTCGACGGACTCGTGTCGAGCTCGTAGTAGTCCTCCGTCAATTCCAACCAGCACTTGTCCTGAAGCTCGTCAAAAAGTCGACCGGCAGTGGAAATGAGGGACAGGTCGCCGGGTGCTAAAGTGTCATTTTCGACCTTCACTTTCTGGAGGACCGAAATCCTCGCGAGGTGCAGGAAGTTGAACTTTGACTCGCGTGGGAATGACACCCATCCCGCGCCCGGGATTGCCATGGCCATGACCCACTCGCCATTTCGTATCGCTGGCTGGATGACTTCCGGATGCCAAACCATGTCATGACCCCAATCCTGCTCAGGTGAATGACGTTGTGGTTCAAGCAGGAAGTGGATGTTGTCATTCTTCCAAGACGGATGATCGGGCTGGACAACGGACCCGGGACGCAAAGCGGGCGGGGGGGCGGCCAGAGCTCTAAGTCTCTCCAGCAACTTCATCGGCGTGGTGCCCGACGCCGGTTTGGCCAATGGTGACACGAGGGCTGCAGCGCTTGGTGATGGATCGGCCGACGAGGACCCTCGGCCATGGTCCGCCGGAGGCGGGTCGTACTGCAGGTCGATGCTCTCCGTGTCGCTCTCCTCCTCCTTTGCGTTGGCGACAAACTCCACACCTATGGCTTCCTCGTTGTCAGTGGAGATCAGGGAAGCGTAACTGGCTAACTTCAACTGCTCCTCGAACTCCACGAAGTACAGCGACTGCAGCCTTTCGATAAACGTCTTCGCGTTCATGCGGGAGGCGAAGCGGTAGTTGTCGAGCAGTGCCAACATGTGGTCCTTCCAGCGGATGTACTCGGCGTCAGTGTCCCTCCTCGGACGCGTTTGAAGGAACAAGAAATCGTATATCTTGTTCCTCTTCCTCTCGCTCAACTTGAACCACATATCCGTCTTCTTGCTCCACACCTTATCCCGTGTTGGCCTCACGACCATGAACTCATAATTGTGCCCACTCGAATTGACCTCGCTTTTCACCACCTGCATCGTGAATTGCAAAAGGTCGGAGTTCCCTTCCATTGCGACAACGTGTCGGCCGGCCTTCAGAAGCTCCCAGACGCTTCGCGCGTGCGGTCTCCCAAGGAACACGACACCCTCTCCCTTCTTGCTAAGAAATCAAGAAGACCGACGAATTGGGTTGGATTGCGTTCCATATCCCCGTAGACGCTGCCCTGTCATTCAGGCGCCACCAGCGACTAGTCGCAAGGCGTGAAAGGAATCTCGGACACATCCATCTGGGTGACCCCCTGAGGCAATCGCACCGCAGCAGCGACACCCGTGAGCAGGTTTCCCTCATAGACCACGGACGTGTTGACGCGCGGATCGTCACCCTTGAAGAGGATGTACATGCGATCTTCCTCCGTGTACAAATTGTTCCCAACGGGGAAGCTTTTATTTTGCTGCACTCTCCGCACCCACTTCCCTTCCAACAACTTGACGAAAGAAAGATGGTGCATGCTGGCGAGAAACGACAGGTTGTGCTGCCGTGGCACGAAAACAACGAGAGTCCAATGCGAGGGACACCACGTTTGAAGATAGGAATTCAAAGTGTCCCACGCTTGGGGCTTCCACAGTTTGAGGTCAACCGGCTCGCACAGATCGAGGACGAACGTGTGGCTCTTTGTGGCAGCCACTGCCTCCTTCAGCTCCGCGCCCCTGATGTCCGCCTCTAAAGGGTCGTTGGCGAACAGCGCGATGGATGTCACGTCCCCCKTGTCTTTCCATTTAATGTGAATGACGCCTTCGGCAAGTGCGACTCCCCGGCTCTTCAGTCTGCTTCCATTCAACACGGAGAGAACCTTGTTTCTCCAGTCGACGGACAACTTCTTGTGGCCCACCAACTTCTCCGTCACCTCAATCGAGTTGTTCTGGTCGCAACCCATGTACGGCGGGCAATCATTGAACAGCGCCGAGCCGGAAACGTGTTTCCTGCTGTTATCCCACAACTCGTCATCCAATCCCTGACCTTCAAACTTCTTGAACACGGCAGACCTCGATTTCAGGAAAGGGTACCTTTGGATCCCGTCCGCGTCCAGCCTCTTCTTGTGCTTGAATTGGTAGTAATTCCACAACCGGACCAGCACGCGGTCGCACTTCACCAGCTGAACCATGTCCTGCACGCTGAGCTTTCCCAACTTCGCCAACGACGGGGAGCCGACCTGGACCCAAACGATCTCGCAAGCAAACACCTTTTTCAGAACGCGACACTTCTCATTGTCCGTGAGTGATTCCATTGCTTTCCAACAATGCGCGTTCGGGTCTGGCACTTGCACGAACCAATCGCCCTCCTCTTTCTCCTTTTTGCCCTTTTTATTCGGCGGGTCCACGGGGACGTTGTACACCACCTCCGTTCTGCCCAATTTGTCGTTGTGGATGTAGGCGACCCCAGGCTTTATGCTTTTGACCTTCTTCTTTTTGACAGTCCACTTCGCCCCAGCGTGGCTCAGCAATCTGCCCGTCTCCCATTTTTCAAAAAATTCCACGGCCAGTTTCCAGACATTTTCCCCGGCCATCGCCAGAGGTAAGTAAGAACGCAGGGCAACATTTTGCTTCTTAATGACCTCCTCTTCCTTTTGATCCGCGAGAAGCCACAAGCTGTTTTGCGGTGCCTTATGGAGCGCCGTTGTACAAAACTTACGCCAAGCCTGGACCTGATCTTGTTTCCCGCTAGGGTTCCCCATCACAGCTCTCGGGCAGCTGTCATGCTTCCACTCCCATCGAATGTTTTTCATAGAAAGTTTCAACTGTCTGGGAGGTGCCTTCAGGTTCTTCTTTTTGTCCTGTGAACTAACAAGAAAATACCCTTCGAAGTCATCGTCGTAAAGTACACTATCCGTGCCGGCCACCGCTCGAAATTGTACTTTTTGGCCACCTCGCTACCGAGCAGCGACTTAGCTGCAGCCGCGTTGTGCTGCCCGCACACCGAGTAGTAGTAGTATTCTCCCGCCAGCTCATCCTTCCACTCCTCTGGCTTCAGACGTTGTGCTTTGGTCCCAGGAGTTGGTTTTTGAAGCCCCAGTGGTGCGAGCTTGAAGACCGGCAACTCGTACGTCTGTTCTTTATTTTCGAACGCAGACCGCATTGCTTCCCTTATCGTTTCCACAAGGACGGGATCTAGCGACCGCTGGTTGTAAAGATCCTCCCACTCCGTTATGTCAACGATCTGAGCCGGGCTGATCTCAAACTCCCGCCTTGTCCTGACGCCGTCTTTGTACTCCAGGAAGTACCCGACGTCCACGTCGATGGCAGGCCGTGGTGAAGAAGGTCCCGACTCAGGCTGTTTATGTTTCGAAGCTGGACGTTTGCTACTTGGGTGGCCCTCTTCCACCCCCCTCCCCTTCCGTTTCTCTCCCGCAGTCCTCGGGGTCTTGGTCTTCTGTTTCTTCGAAGAGCCCACCAACTCTTCTTGACATTCTCCCCTCCTTTCTTGGGGAGTGCCGTGCGCTCCCTCCCCGCCCACGGTCTCGCCTTCCGCGCCATGGCCCTCGGCGGGCTCCAAGTCAGACCCACACAGGACTCCCTCTTCTCCGGGATCCGCTGCGGTCTGTTGCCGGACCCCAGGTATGGACAGCACGGACCTGTCTCTTTCCCTCGACGGCGAAAACGGCGGACGCGGTGTCGCCTCATCTTCGCTGTCGTCAAACTGACCTCTGGCATCCTCCCGCTGCACATGTGTAGCCTCCCCGGAACCCMGATCCCCCCCCCCCCCCGCTGCCCCGCTCGACTCACAACCGCCGCACGGCTGCAAAGGCATTGACGGTTCCAGGTCGGGACCGACTTCGCAAGGGACGTCGAGGGCGATGCCCTTGTCCTCCAACAGGTCGAAGAACTCTCGGCCCAAAACAAACCCGCCCTGCCGCCGGAGGTCGTTGTAGAACGGGGTGTTCGCAGCACCCACTCCGAACCCCTCGAACAGACACATGTCGAGAACTGCCCCCTTGGCACCGGCGACGACGTTCCCCTTCGAACCGTACACATTTTTCATGTAAGACCGTCGACGACTGCCTTTCGCATTCTCCCACCGCAAGACAACCCCCAGAACCCTGCGGCGCTTGTTGGCTTCGACGAAGATCACAGGACCACACGACTGTTGGACTGGGTTCGTAGCATCAGCACAACACCAGTCGACGAACCATTTCGACCTAGCATGGTCGGACCACGTCCTCGAGGTCGTAGACGACCGTTTTGTAGAATCTTTCCCAGATCCCATCCCGGAGGTCGCTGCAGGCTCCCCTTCGCCCCTGGACGAAGACATATTTTCTGCGGACGACAACGGAAAACAAATAAAACACCAGCGAGCGTCAAATCGCAGTCAAAGCACAACGCAGGCGAAAAACAGAGGAGGCACACCTTGCCCTCAACACGTCGGTCACATGACGCTATCCGAGGACCTCGAAGTTCGGATCCCGCGAACTTCTAATGCGAAGACCAGCAATGACCTCTTACCTGCAACGAGATCATTCTTTACAAGGGCACACGCTTCATGCAGCCGGGCGACAACCACGTTGGTTTTTTCCGGAACATGGATGTCCACCCGATCGGGAATGGACGGGTGGTGACGCACAAAGCCCGCGTTGGATGGGGCAGTGTCCTCCGTTTAGCAATAGGAACCCCGACAGTTCAGGACGCGAAGTTCGCCGAGATCCGTACTAAAAGTGCCTGTCCGAAGCCAAACCAACGCACCCTCCGAAACGTGAAGTTCGCCGGGATCCGAACTTCAGGAAAATGCGACAGGCAGAGACGGTTTCAGGCAAACACAGATTAGACTGAACCACGACCCGGAAAGGCTGCACTAACAGAAAAGGCCGCTTGAGAAGGACAGGTTCGCCGAAACCCGAACTTCTTCTGATATGCGCAGCTTGGCATTGGATGAAGCCAAGTTCGAACGAGCAGCCGCGGCAACATTGTACGAGTCCCTGGAGGAGCAGTTGTGGATCAGGGTTTGACTCGTGTCGCAATCCACGGGGGATCATCAAGCCCAGCGCCCGTTCAATACACAGGCGTCACAGGAAGTTCGCCGGGATCCGAACTTCAGGAGGCTGCGAGAGAGACAGACAAAAAGTTGGGGTCCTAGCAAGGTGTCCTAGCACGATGCCAACGGGATTTCCAACAAGAGGGCCCGCCAACCGGGATCTCCAACGGGTTTCAGGAAACGCGAAGCTCGCGCGACCTTGCGACGGGGATCTCTAAGAGTGCTTTTGGCATCTCGCTACGACAGTGACCGACTGTTTGGCACATGTTGATGGTAGACGGGCGAAAACCGATTATGGGCAGATCCTTCCGTGGTGATGGGTCTTTCCCGTGGCCCGCCCGACGCCAATGACATCAGAGACAAATTAACGGAGAGGCCAGAACGCGAAGTTCGCAGAGATCCGAACTTCGCCGGGGCACGACATGGCAGGAGACGGCGTCAGAGACGGACGTCCAACATGACTTTCGTCATGTCACTGAACCGAACGACGACCAGGGATTTGCACGACAAGCGCGCGGTGCAGCGTGAACCAGCAACCGCAGAGTCTCACACTTCTCTGCAGTCCTACAAATCTGACATGTTAGGCAGCACAACCGCATCTCGTCCCTCGCCGTTCTTTTCCCTCAAACAGAAGGACTAAGGACCGGTTCGGATGCGGCGACATTTGGGGATCCTCCGGGACGACGTCGTGAACCGAAGCCAAACAAAGCATTCAGTGACGATCTGTAGACGCGGGTCTGCGGTTCGTCGCCCAATGCAATCTCCGAAAAAACAGACATGTATTTCATCCTAACAAACACCACCGGTCGTGCCAAGGAGTTTCCTATGCAGTCCCGTATGTCAGCCGCTTTCTCCTCAACCTCACGAAACAACGAATAGTTTCGAACCTGACCTGCTATCACCAAATCTGGCCACCCATCCACACGTTCAGGCCCACGCATCGGCACGAATTTGGACCCTTCAATCACAACCTCGTTGCGCGACACGAGCACAACTGCGTCGACGAGTTTCCTGCTCTTGTTCGAAGCAGCGACACACATAACTCTGGCGAAATCAGATCCGGACACAGTCAACCGCACACAGCAGTACGACACAGCTCGTGGAGAAATCCCGGGGCAACAGAGCGGGTAGTGGTCCAGGAACGAGCAGCGACGAGCGCAGTCCACCAACTCTTGTTTCCGCGAGCCACCCCAAGTTCGTGGCGAGGACCTGACGTTGTGGCACTCGAGGCGACTGAAATAGCGGCTAATGCAGCTTAGTGCTTTCCGCATATGGTTCAGGAACTTATGTACGAGGACGGCGTCAGGCAGTGGGATGAGGTCCCCGAACTCCAACATATTCGCGAACTTGTACTGGCTTGCCCAAGGGCAGTGACTCTCCATACTAGCCCAATTGCCCTCGCCCCAGTCGTCAAGATGCGCGTCCCTGCACGGAACGACGGTCATCCATGGGTCCTCGTCGAAGTCCTCTGCGGTCGCTCCGTGGATCGTCGTCACACCGTTCAAATGCCGCATGGATTTCGCACAAGGACGAAAAGGTTCTGCTAAGCGAATGTGCGTCTTGGCACTCATGGCCTTTGGTCTCGAGAAGATTGACTCGAAGATGCGTGGTGTCGAGAAGGTCCCCTCCATCACACAACCTGCACACCACGCGCACATGCCCGACGACACACACGGGCACGGAGACACTCGTAAACGCGTCATGTCTCTCGATGTGCGACCCATGGCATTAGACGCAGTGTATGCCCCAAGATCCGATTTCGGGTGGAGTTGTGGCAATCCACCGGTCGCTAGGAAGTCCAAAGTCAGAACCCGCACCACCCGAAAGGTGAAGCACGCCGGGGTCCGAAGTCGACGGTTTTCCGACGAACCGTGCATGAGAAGTTCAGATCTCAGCGGACTTTGCATTTTATAGAATCCGTAGTCCGCAGTGATTCGAAATTTACGATTGTCTGAGGAACCGTGCACGGCAGGTTCTGATCCACGGCCCAGAAGGAACATCTCCTGCCACATGCATTGCGAAAGGAAGACAACTCAAATTCGTCGGGATCTGAACTTGGCGAATTCGTCGGGATCCGAACTTGCGAAAGGAAGACAGCAGGTTCGGATCCACGGCCCAACAGGCGAACCCGACGATGGGACGAGGAACCTTTGCACGAGAAGTACGGATCCCGGAGGACTTCGCATTTTTGCGAAACAAAAGTTGTGGCAAACACCCATTCGCGAGAAAGGACACAGTCAGTACCCACACCATGCGCGACACGAAGTTCGCCGGGGTCCGAACTTGCCACGCGAGGTCCGGATCCACGGGAGGATGTTCGCCGGGATCCGAACTTCTCGAGACCGCGTGGGAGAGAATCAACCGGCGGGCTACACATTTTTTCAAATACAAAGTTGTGCCAAACCCCGGGAGCTAGAAACCCACGTTCTGAACCCGCACATTGAGACAAGCGAAGTCGCCAGGGTGCGAACTTGATGTCTGTGCGAGGAACCGTGCAGTAGAAGTCCGGATCCCGGCGGACTTCGCATTATCACGGATCCGAGGTTCGCCGAGGTCTGGACTCGACGAGTGTGCAAGGAATAGTGCGAGCGAGGTTTGGATCTGCAGGCCAGCAAGAACCTGTAGTTGGCCGGGATCCGAACTTGGCGAAATTACGTGGGAGATACACACCTGTCTGCCAAACTCGCCGTCTTGCAATTTCTTGAAGTTCGGATCCCGGCGGACTTCATATTTTTTCACATCCCAGGCTGTGGTTGCGGACCGGGGTTGCAAAGCGTGTTCGAGCAGCTGTATAAAGTTTGCCGGGATCCGGACTTGGCAAAATTGCGTGGGAGACATACACCTATCTGCCGAACTCGCCGTCCAGCAATTTCTTCAAGTTCGGATCCCGGCGGACTTCCAATTTTTACATATCCCAGGCTGTGGTTGGGGACCGGGGTTGCGAAGCGTGTTCGAACAACTGCATGAAGTTCGCCGGGATCCGAACTTGGCGAAATTGCGTGGGAGATGCACACGTGTCTGCCAAACTCGCCGTCCAGCAATTTCTTGAAGTTCGAATCCCGACGGACTTCTAATTTTCCACGTTCCTGGCTGTGGTTGCGCACCGGGGTTGAGAAGCATGTTCGAACAGCTGCACAAGCTCACCGGGATCTCAACTTCTTCCGGTGTTTGATTGAGCGATCAGTTCGGTTGGAACGACCACGTTCCGATCACGAGAACAGTGCCGGCGACGCGTGGGGTGGTGGGTGCTCAACGTTCGCCGTTCGACGACCCTACGTCCTCCAAAGTTCGACGTCCGACGAGCTTCGACGCCCGCCGAGGTTTGATGTGGAGCCAGGTTCCGTGGGCAGCATGGTTCGATGTTATACGAGGTTCGATGTGCAACAAGATTGTGACGAAGTGCTTTTTATTCGTTCGAAGATCGGGATCGACGTTTTTCCGATCGGTTGTGCGTTTCGTTCGCCGGTTTCGATCGTGCACATGATCATTTGCCTTGAGGATTTTCCGCGATCGTTCTCCACTATCAATTAGCATAGAACAGTCGATTGGTTGATCGGCTGCTCGGTTGGCGGTTGGTGTGGTGGTTGATCAACCAGCAGAGCAATCGCCAACCGAGCTGTCGACCAATCAGTTGATCCTGGCAGATTTCCTGACCGATCGACGGTTCGGTCGAGGAATGTCAGGTGGGTAAATAAACAGGTCGCTCGCCGGCGGGTTGATATTCGGTGCAGCACACACGATCAATCATCCGATCGCAAGTAATCTTCTGTCATTTCGCGATTGGTCGGTTGGATGCGTTGTCGCCTCGTGCATTGGTTAATCATCCGTCGGGCAGATCAGTTGCGCTGTTGTTGGGGAAGCAAACAGCATCTATCACCCGATCGCGAGTGGTCGGCTTGCGTTTCGTGATGGGTCGTTTCATCACGTGTGTGGTGTACATATTGTCATGGATCTGATCGACCATCAGATCACGAGTGATCTGAGCACACACTACAGAAAGAACAACACACACGCGGTGGTAACGTCGACACGGCAAACACGACCAATCATCCGATCACGAGTGTTCTAATCGTGTTTCGCGATTGGTCGATGGATGCATTCGCTGTGTTGACATTGCCACCGCGTGTTTTGATTGATCATCCATTGGGCAGATCGGCGGACATGACATTGGGACAACACACAAAACCAATCGGGTATGGCAAGTGCTCACGATGACGTTGTGTTTCATTATTGGCCGCCGCGTGTTCGATCCGAGCTTCCGTGCTTTGCCACTTGAGTACAGCACGAGTGCAATCGTTTGTTGATACTCTCCTCACACATCCTCTTACATCCACACACAAGCGGAATCGAAGGGCGAACCATGACGTTCGTCCCTGACCGCGCACGTTCTCACGATCTCCCCGTGGAAAACGCGCGCGAACACACACGCACGCGAACACATATGCACAGACAGGCACACACACGCACACACACACACACACACACACACACACACACACACGCCGACACACGGCGCCCGCACACACACGCCCCTTAGGCACAGACGCGCGCACGATCCTGCCTCGCGCGTGTGGCACACACTTCAATACAAACACAAACACAAAGGAACACGCACTCGAACACACACACACACACAACGAAGCATGCACAAACAAACAATCGCACACGAACACACACACACACACACACACACACGCCCACCCGCACACATGCAGCCACGAAATCTTTCGATCTGCGCGAGCATATCGTCACAAAAAACCTCCCCCACACGCGCGCACATGCAACCATACATCCCGACTGCGTGCGCACTCACCGTGTGGAACTGCCGAGTGAAGATGAGGGCGAACCCAGACGTTTTTCGTGACGGCACTCTGTCCACCTTTGGGCGTGCACTTCGCATGTGCTGGGGTGCTGCGTGGGGTGGCGGTCGCGCCTTCCGAGAAAGGAGATCGGGAGTGACGTCGAATATGACGCGGACAGCGACTTGGTAGGCGGAGGGACATGCGAGGGCATCTGGGGTGCGTCGGTGCCACGAAACGTGCGCGGTGAAAAATGGCTGTGCCAGCTATGGCGCGCCAGCTGTTGCCGACAGTGGCGGTGCGTGGCTTCCGTTGGGCAGCATCTCCCCAGCAAAAAACGCAAAACGCATCGTCAATGCCCAGGGCGCCGCTCATATTTGTAGGCGCGCGGGACACGAGGCCCCCTCGGGCCTTCCGTTTCGGATTTCCGTGCAGGATCGGCGCGCCGACTCGCGGCTGTTCGATCCGCGCATCGAACGGTGGCTGCACGTCGAAATTGTCGCGAGGGGGGCCTGGTGCGTCGAAATGTGACAAAAATGCCCCTACGGGCTGGCCCTTCCCGAACGTGATTGGAAAACGGGCCCTTGTTCCGAGCCCCTCGCGTTCGTGTCTTCGGGTTCGCGGGCCCCGGTGGAGGGGGTCTCAGGTGTC